AACGGCCCTTTCACAGGGGTCGCCTAAGACCATCCTGCATATCAGGTATTTACATTTGTAGCAACATTACAGTTGTGAAGTAGCAACATTACAGTTGTGAAGTAGCAACGAAAATAATTTTATGGTTGGGTCACAACATGAGGAACTGTATTTAAAGGGCCAGAAGGTTGAGAACCACTGATATAGGATATGAACTGCCTGTGGACATGGGAACAGGGTGGTGAAGACCTGGGCGGGGGGCGTGGGGGTGTGTGTGGGGGGGTGAATAAGGGCTGGAAAGAGGGGGTAGAGGGGAATGGGAGTTATCTATAATACTAAAAACCAAACAAACAAAAAAGTTACTTTCCAGGGTGCTATGGCCACAGGCCGCGGTGGTAGAGATGTAATCAGCATAGGTGCCAGGGGGGAAAGTGCCCGAGAACTAATTGTGCAGCAGCAGGCCAGCTCTCAGGTCTGTCATCTCACAGAGGAAACTGAGGCTCAGTGAGATCACTGGCCCCGGGTAGCACAGTGAGAGGCCGCCCTGGGACAGAGCTCAGGAGTGGTGGCCCCCTCACCCCAAGGCCATGGTCTTAACCAGTATTCTCCATGGCAGTGGTTCTCAACCACTCCAGGGGACATGTGGTAATGCCTGGGGACATTTTTAGTTGTCACAACTGGGAGGAAGGGGAGTACCGTGGCCTCTAGGGGGTGGAGGCCAGGGACGCTGCTAAGCTTCCTGCAATGCAGGACAGGCCCCTCAACACAGAGCTTCCCAGTGCAGTCAGCCCTGCTGGGAGGCCTCTTCCTGGAACCCAGGGACTTGGGCTTAGACTCTCGTCTATAAAGAACAGAGATAAGCTCAGGACGCCTGCATTCGAGAAGTGATGTTTAAATCTTCCAATCGCAGTCCTATTCCAAATACCCTGAGCTCCAGAGATGCTTCCAGAAGAGCTTCCGGTGCACCTGTTCCAGCAATGGCCTGAACATTCGCGTCTCCAGGAGAATAAGAAGGGCGGCTCCCTCTGAGCCAGTCTCCGCCTCCGTAAACCTCGCGGGGCTGGTCCTCATGGTTCCAAAAGGCTGGGAGTAGGTGGGTGGCAACGCACTCTGGCCAGGGCACCCCGCAGGCGCAAGCGAGCCCTGAGCTGGGGGCGTGGCTTGGGCGGGGCCCTGAGCGGGGCGGGGCCCTGAGCGGGGCGGGGCCCTGAGC